ACTGTCACCCACAAGAGAGCACTCTTTCCTTTGAAGATCTCTCAGCTTCCCCAGAAAGCTAGAGACATGCCATATAAGTTTTGCAAACTGCTGGTGAGCTGTTTCAGTTAGACCAGAGCAGCCGAAACAACAAAGCTTGCAGTTGTCTTTTGGATTTCATTGTGAAAAGCCTTTGGGTAGTTTTCAGATGACAGAAGATCCTTGGTTCCTGAAAGGGAGGAGTTCTGCCAAAACTTTGAAGATCCCTGTAAACTTTGCAAATTACCCATCTTTTGGAGACAATTATATCAAGTGATACCGTGGATTACAATACATGAGAAGTGTTTAGAGCCTGGAAGATTATTTATGTTTGGCATTAACTCTTATGGTCATAATTTCAAGCGGGGAGAAAAGGAATACACAGGAACCCTCTTATTACCTTTTGAAATATGAAGATCAGAGGAAAAGAAGGCTTTAAAGTGTGGAGTGATGGTCCTCAAAACCTGTCTGTAAATTAGCTGGCATCCTACATCTATAAAAACAACAGGGCTTAGAGCTGATTTTCAGACACAGAGTGGACCTCAGGAGTCGTTAGCAGTGCTTTGAGATCAGAGTTTTTTGTACACCGCAGGAGGAAATTGCAGCCTGCGGGGCAGAGTACCTACACAAATGTTTCCTCCTTGCATGGACTGATACGAGATTTGGAAGCCAAATTCAGGAACTGATATTTCACCGGTGAGGAAAAATAAAGAAGCATGGACAGCAATAAAGACGACAATGGACTGTTGAACAGGATTGCATTTCCAGGAGCTGTGTCCCTGGCTAACAGCCATGTCCATCCTCACAGAGTCACCCTGAGAGAGCCCTTTGGGGTTCCCTTCCATCTGGACCCATCTTACTGGGAGCAAGCCTACAGCAGGCACGCCGGTCGCATCTCCTACATCCCATTCCCTGGCTACGTGGGCGTCTATGACTATTCCTTTGAGCCTGCCTTCATTCGAAAGAGGAACGAGAGGGAAAGGCAGCGGGTGCGCTGCGTGAATGAGGGCTACACGCGCCTGAGAGAGCACCTGCCCAAGGAATTTGCTGACAAACGTCTCAGCAAAGTGGAGACCCTGAGAGCTGCAATAAGCTACATCAAACACCTGCAGAGCTTGCTGGACTGCCATCCCTTAGGGTCTAACAGTAAGGAAACACTCTCCGCCAAGGAGCTCCAGGAAGCTCCTGGTCCGGGTCCCCCGCGGGAGTGCAACAGCGATGGAGAGTCTAAAACCTCTTCAGCTTCATCGCCGTACAGTGAATTTGAGGAGACGGGCAGCTAGGTAATGGCCTCTCTGGAGACAGAAAGCTTCAATTGTGGCTGAAAACCAAATCTAAAACCATGGGCATATTTCTACAGATGAAAATGAATACCAGGAAAAAGAAAAACAGCTAGTAAAAAAAAAAAAAAGAGGTATTTTCAATCTGTCAAAGGACTTCAGATGTTGTCTGTACAAAACCTAAAGATGATTTATAAGCAAACAGATATCCCTCAGGTTGCTTCAGCTGTGTTACTAAACTTCCTTCGGATATTAAAACTGAAGCAGCGTCTGCGTTCTACTTTTCATTCAGCTTTTATTCTGTTCATCTCTTTTTCACTCGGTGAGACGGCAAAAGCAGATAAATCCATTTCAGGAAATGCCCTTCCCCTTTCTCCTGCTTCCCCCTGTAAGTCTTATTGTCTGTTTTTCCTGACTGCTAACCTGAGATGCACGGGGTTGCAAACACTTGGACTGGGAAAGGTAAGATCTTTCCCTAAAATTTTTAGAAAACTCACAGAAACACTTCTATTTCTGAAAAGACAATTAAAAAAATATAAATAAGCCTGTATTTGGGAATGGATTTCTTTTATGGCATCTTCTAAAGTGAAAGAAACAACTCAGATATTGGACACTGGCTATTTGGTGGTTATTCGAAAGATATTGTTCAGGAAAAGAAAATCTGACACTTTCATTTTAACCAGTGCTAGGAAGAGGGAAACAGAATTCTGTAAAACTGCACCTCCAAAAGCAAAGCTCCACTCATGATACTGAAAAAATGTTGCCAGCCTTTTTCCATCTTTTCTGAAAACTGAGTTTGTGGACAAAATAGCCTTGATTGTGTCTGTTTGGCAGGTCAGAGGTGATATGCTTAGAAATATGTTCCTGTAGTGTTTAGGTACTGCTGTGTACAAAAAGGGTAATACTAAATACATCAGTTTACATCTGCATGAAAATGTAGGTATTATTTCTTTTGTTTAGATTATTGTATTACTTTTTCAAAGAATGCACCTTTAAAAATCAATATCTCAAAATCTATGGAATACCTTGAATTTGGACCGTGTCTATTTAAAATAAGAATTTGTCTCCAAATTGTTCTAAAATCTTCCCTTCTCCAAGGCCAGATTTAAATAACAATTAGCTATGTGCTCAAAACCCATTCTGAATATGGGGTAAACTCCTTCTTACCGAAACGCTTCCAAAGACCTTTCAAACTTTTTCTTGTTTTCACCTCACGTCAGTGAAAAGGCTTTGTATCTTTTTGTCTTTCCTTCATGTCATGCTGACTGAACACTTGAAAAAATACTCGTGTATAAATAAGAACATATACTGATCAAATACCTCAAAATGTGTCCATAAATTTCATTTAAATAAAATATTGAATTAATCCTGGCTGTGTTTTTTTTTCACTTTCAGCTGCTAATGAATGGGACAGCATGTCTGCAGTAGTAATGAATTCTCAGGAAAGAATAAAGAAAATGCATAGGAAGTAAATATGAGCTGCTACTCATGACACTACATTTTTAATCTAGATTTTTAAATCTAGATAAGGAGCACTTTTGTGCTGTGAGCATCTAATAAAAATTATTTGGTATAAAAATACTCTGCTGATTTTGAGCAAACTGCTTTGAACACGTGCACCTTTTTAGCTATTGGGTGCCTGCCTTCAAGGAGTTGCAGTCCAAGTCTGAGTCTGGGTACTGCTGGTGCTCTAAGACCAATTATTTTTTCTTAATTTACAGCCTTGAACACATTTAGGCAAATCATGTGCCATTCAGAAACTGAAAAAGCCTAAATGAGTTGTCCAAACAACTTGCTGCACATTACTCACTCAGCCTGACGGGACTGAAGCAGCAATGTTAGAATGTCAGTGGCAGTCACAGGCTTCATTCTTTTTTCTTTATGCAGTAGCCAGCTTCCTCTTCTAATGACTATTTTGTTTCTCTAAGGGCTGTTACTTTTGTGGTGTCTGTTCCCCAGACGCAGAAGTAGAGGTCTAGACACCTGGACAGTCCTCCCAAAGGATCCAGAGCTGAAGCACTCATTTTTGAGTGTGTGTTTGTATTTGCTGTACAAGAAAAAGAAGGGCAAGGAAGTGTTCTGAAATTCTGAGTGGGATCCGTTATTTTTTGGCAGTCTCTGACAAGAGATTCACCCTCTCTCTCTGCCTCAGTATTGAAATTTCTGGAAATACAGTAATGATGCTAGTAACTCTGTCAGTAAGCCTGAATTGCATTTCTCCTGCAAAGCAGAGATTAAATCTTTGTTATCTATGAAAAACATACACTTCCTCAGAGTACCTGAGACAAATTCTGTGAAACACACAGTTGTCTGTAAAGCACCCTGAGAATGAAAAGCAGTTAATATACATACAATCACAATAAATAGCCAAATCAAACCAAACCACTACAAATAAAAATGACCTGAATGACTGTTACTTCTGTGCAGGAGACATCAGGTACAGATTTTTTGGTCAGATGACTATCACAGAGATGTATCCAGGAGCCATAATCCCCTGATTTCCAGATCCCAGAGAGGTGGTGCAGCATGCCACCTTCTCCATGATTAGCTAGTTAGGCTGGCCAGAGAAGTGGAATAGGTTGTGGCTCATCCTCCTTTCAGGTTCATCTCATGTGGGATGTTTCTCAGCGGGAGTCTAACCAAGTGGAGAGCATCACAGCCTGGGCCTGTCTTGGCCATCTCTGCTGTAGGGTGTCTCGTCCCGTGTGAGACACAGGCTGATCTGCTGCACATCTAGATGGGACTGGTTTGTTTGTTGCATATCCTTAATACTCTTCAGTCAGAACCAAGCCTGGATTTTGTGAGATGATATTCTGGAAAGGGCCTCTGCACCTCAGAGCAAGGAGACTGGTTAAAAGTCTACTTTTCAATAAAACTGTAGCTACTTCTATTTTAGATTATACATCTTTAACAGCTCTGGAGATGTCCTTAAAATACTTCCCAATCCAAATTCAGTACTGAAGATGCAAAACTCAGAATGCCACACATAGCTTGATGTAATTTAATTTTAAAGGAAAATGAATTTCTGATTGAAAATTCTTTCTGGGGGAAAAACCAAAATCTGTCACACATTGAAACACGCTCCTGAGGAAAGCTGTACATTTATATTTCTCACTGTTCCTGTTGTCATGAAAACCTCTTGCACACTTTTAGCACGAGGAGGTAGCAAACAGCTCAAGACTTCCCAAATATGGATCTGTGCTTTCTACGGGCATCAACAAAGGTTTCAAGTGAATGCTACATTTCAAAAGCTTTCTTAAGCTGTTTCTGTCTAGACAAAGGTTTTCTTCAAAGCTTCTGAAGTGTGTCATTATCAGACTTAGAAAGCAGAAAATGATCCAAGTTGTCACCCTGAGAATTAAGGTTTTAATAAAAATGTTGACCAGAAGAATTCTCTCCATGTGGCATAGTAACTATTAACAAGAAAGGTGAACACCGATATCCGTAGAAAACCATGCTACAGCTTTATCAAACTCTGCACACCAAATGCAGACACTTTAATCTATCAGATGTGAAAAACCCACACATCTGAAGTCTTCCCTCTTCTGCCATTAAATTACAAATCCATTTGCTCCTTGATATTACCAGCATTTTAAAGATGTGTAATCCTGGCCATGGGATTGCTTTTAATCCTCTAATAGCTATTTAGCTGATTTCTTTGTAAAAGCCCCCATCCACACTCCTTTCATGTTATATTACCCAGTGTCAGTAACATGGCCAAAGACAACCACAAGGCGCTATAGAAAAGTCACGTTCAGAGAGTAAAGCAGTCAGGGCCAATTATCTCACTGGAATAAATGAACAGGCAACGTCCACACAAAAATAAAGAATATTTGAAGACATTTGTCACCAGCATACTTGGGAAGGTGGTAAAACAATATCCAAAGCATTTTGAAGAGAGACTCTCAAGTGGTACCAGCAGGAAAGTTAGCTGAGGTCGATCACTATAGCTGAACAAGGTCTTGGTAAGACTTTCCGAAACAGAATCTAAGCAAATATATCTTCAGTGGGTGCTCATCACTAGTAACCCTCAGCATATAGGTAAAGGGCTAGAGAGCAAAAGGTAAAATCGTTCCAGAAAAGTGAAGAGCAGCAAAATGGTAAGACTGCAGCTATACCTAGCCCTTACACAATGCTGTCCAGTCTGGAAGTCCTGTAAACACAAGATGAGCAACATTCTCCATCAACCTGAAGGTGTGCTTGTAGGTAAAAATCTGCTATAGGTGCTCACTCCTCTATTTCCCACATGATATTTACACATTCTTTCTACCTCGCTGTGAATGCGTTCCCTCACAAAGCGATGGCAAAGTTCTCCGAGCTGCCCTTGCTGGGACAACAAACTAGAGGAGCGAAGGTGTTTCTAAAGGTAGGTGTCTCTCCCCATGTATCAGTGGGTCTCCATACAGTCAGCAGGGGACCAAAGACAGAGAGGAGTCTGGCTAGAATGCTGCTGAAATGAGCTCAAACTGCCAAGAACATTTGTTTGGAATTTACAAGAGTCTGGCAAGGTGGAACTGCTCAGAAGGTGACCCAGAGTTGGCTGAAAACGTTATATGACTCGGCTACCCTGAGCCAAGACCCTGGAAACTCAATAGGAAGCAGCATGTCCATTTAGTGTGTTGTGCAAGAGACTGGTAGTGCATTTCAGGAGTGAAAGCACGCAGCACGCAGTATGCACGCAGGGTACAACCAGTACCTTGTACAACCGGCAGCTACTTGAGTGTGGGTAGTTGCCTATACCAGGCCTGGGCTGAGGGTGAGAATAAAGACTCAGGGCTCTAGCCTGGCAGTGAGGTACAGCCTTGGAATTAAAAAAACTATGCCCAGTTGCAAACTGTTGAAAAAGGAAGTGAACAACAACTAAAACCCAGCTCAGGAATGGATAGTACAGGTATGTGTGGAGCCTGCATTCATTGGGTATGCTTCTGAGGGAAAGCACAAGAATTTTAATTGGTTTCCCTTTATCTGTCGTGGCTTACACAAGAACCATTCTTCCCTAAGAA